AAACAGACATATATCCTAGGCAGAATTACTGTTGGTCTAGGAAACAGGAAAAAACAGTAGAAGCTGTGGTAGTAAATGATTTGCCTAAGTCTGTGCAGATCCAGGGATTAAAAGAAACAGTTGCAACACTGAAAGCAGCTAAGGTCAAGTTAGCCTGTCCTGACATACAGACGGACACTATTAGTCCAATTGATTTAATCATTGGAAGTGATTATTATCACTGTTTTGTGCAAAATATAGTAAGTAAACATGATGTTCACTTGCTGAAAACAGCAGGAGGCCACATGATATGTGGTCCCATTCCCTCTCAAAGTGGGAAAGAAGCTGATATTGATTCAGTGGAAAATGTACTAGTTACGAGAATAACCGCTGATCATGTACCACAGCAAAAATTATCATTACTGGAAGAAATGAATGAACCAGTTGATAAGTTGTGGGATTTAGATTTGATAAGTATTGATTTAAATAAACCAAGCCCACAAGAGTCTCAGACTTATAACCAATATTTGGACACTGTCAGATATAAAGATGGACAGTACTGGGTTAGGTTACCATGGAAATTAAATCCACCACATCTGCCTAGCAATTATCGCATGGCTTTCGGACAGATGAAAGCACAAATACATGAGCTCAGGAAGAATCCAGAGCTACTGACTATCTATGATAATATCATACAAGAACAGTTGGACAATAAATTCATTGAGGAAATAGTCGAAGATAAGTTGAAGACAAACGTTTCATTATTCCCCGAAACCATGGAGTCAGAAAAGATTCTGAAACCACTCCACTACGTGTTGTATACAATTGCAGCGCACGTGCAAATAAAGATGTAGCAAGTCTTAATGACTGTCTGATAACCGGACTCTCACTAACTGAGAAGCTTGGAGATGTGCTTATGAAATTTCGCACAAACACATATGCTTACACAGCTGATACTTCCGAAGCTTTCTTAAGAGTAGGACTACAAGAAATAGATAGAGATTATACTCGATTCTTGTGGCCTGAAAATCCACATGATCCTCAAAGTCCTGTGAAAACTTATTGTTTCAAATCAGTATTATTTGGTGCAACATCCTCTCCATTCTTACTAGAAGCTACTCTAAATACACATTTGAAGAAATCTGAAAGTCCCTTCAAAGAAATCTTAAAGAAAAGTTTCTATGTGGACAATCTTCAGGGTAGTGTGAATAAAGAGGAGGATTTGAAATCCTTATACAGAGAAGCAAACAAGGAGATGAAAGAAGCAAACATGTTATGATTAATTCTTTAGGACTTTATCTCGACTCGGAAAAGATTATAAGATGTCGAGGAAGAATTCATAATTCTTCACTACCTATAGAAGCCATACATCCAATATTGATCCCCAAGAATCATTGGCTAACAAAACTGATTGTGCAAAACGCCCACAGTAACGTGTTACATGGCGGGGTAGCTGACACACTTTGTCATATACGACAATCTTACTGGATACCTCAAGGTCGACAAAGTGTTAAAAAACAAATAAAGGACTGTATTACTTGTCGTCACTACGATATGCGAGTATGTCAGTATCCAGGTCCACCTCCATATCCCTCTGAAAGAGTTTGTCATGTCACTCCATTTGAGGTGACAGGTGTAGATTACACTGGACCAATAATTTTAACCCATCAAGGTATACATCTGTTTGTTCACTTGTGCTACGACTAGAGCAGTACATCTGGTAGTCACTGACATGTCTGCTGAAATCTTTATCAAAGTATTCAGAAGGTTTGCAGCTAGAAGGGCATGTCCCAGACTGATGATTTCAGACAATGCAACGAACTTCGTTGCTGGTGCTGCTTATTTAAGCAAGATCTTTGAACAGCCAGAAGTACAACAGATGCTGAATCAACGCAGTTGTCGTTGGAGATACATTCCTCTTAAATCTCCATGGCACGGCGGATTTTATGAAAGAATGATCGATATTGTAAAACGTTGATTAAGGAAGACTCTTCATCGTCAGAGAATCGACTTAGAAGAATTCTGTGCAGTCGTGACTGAAATAGAAAATAGAGTCAACAACAGACCTCTAACTTATGTTACCGATGATCTGGACAATTTGGAAGTGTTAAGTCCATCTCATTTACTCCATGGCAGAAGGCTCGAACCTGTTCCTCCCATGAATGATAAAGAAATCATAGAGGATCCTACTTATTTCGAACCTGAGCAACTCAGATGTAAATTCAAACACCTTAATAAAGTGATTGAATGTTGGGAGAAAATTTGGAGAGAAGACTATCTCACCTCATTGAGAGAACACTTCTATGGAGCTGGTGTTCCTGAAAATCATAAGTCCTTAAGACCTGGTGACATACTGATTATTGACAATGATGATCCGAGGTCCCAATGGCCACTTGGAAAAATTGTGACCATATACCCTGATGCAAATGGAATCATCAGGACAGTTGACGTTTTAAGCAAAGGTGTAGTGAATAAGCGGACAATAAATAAACTAGTGCCATTAGAATTACACAGTGTTGAAAATAAAATTAGTGATTCTTCAGAAACCACACAGACTAAAGCTGTTCAGAAAAGACAAGCAGCAGCGGTGGCAAGAGAGAAAATCAAATTAATGTTAAGTGACGAATAGTTCACCTGCAGCGAACCTCTGCCGCCCCCCAGTGTGGAGAAATTTTATCCAGGAAGGGGGAATCAGCCCCTTTCAGCCCCTTTCAGCCCTGAGAGGCCCAGCCCTCTCAGAAGGGACAAGTATCTTGTTTACTACTACAGCAAATAATTGATCCAAGATGCAGTACGAGTATGCAACGTGGTCAAGCGACCGACACTCCTTGCAAAGTCCAGTGTTGCAAAGTGTAGTTTAATGAAAGACGGTCCATCTCTTACCTTAGCTGGACAATTAAGGTAAGTACTGCTCCCACTTTATTACCATGGTAAAGATAATGTACATTGTTGTCTATGCTTAAGACAGCAAGAATCAAGAATTCTGCTTTGCTTCATGGAGAAATTTGGCATGGAAGCAAAAAGTACTAGGTCAATTTTTTCTTTATGTTCGAGGGGCATTGGAGTGGCGTAGGACGCTGTGAGGTCAGATTAATTTTGACTCTACTGAGAGTCACACTGATGCCAGGATAACTAGCAAAGAACACTGATCCGTGCATTAGTGTGAATAAAGTGTCTCACAAAACACAATAAACACTTACAAAGAAGTGTGATCAGCTTCTTTAGTGATATGTTGTGAACAATTATTGATGAACAGTGTAACAACGAGTGTTGCGATCCAACAGTTTGTAGTGCGACATTCTTCAAAGAACACTATTGTTCAATCAACTCAACGGATATCCAGGCATAACTACGGGTCAGATACATATACCCAGGTAAGTGTTCTAACTCGCGATGTACTACTATTGACTCCACAGTTGAGTGTAAGTTACGAGTTAGTCACTTATCATAAACCCCGGTGATAAGCGGATTTTTAAGTCCACACAAGTACGTATGTCAGCCATCAGTGAATGAAATACGCTGATATAACACCCCCTAGGGGTAATTTATTATCATACATAATATAATTTTTTCCAGCCCATTAAGAAGTGGATGATACAGCTTCTCAATACCTCATCTGCAGGGGCGGCTGTGTGGACGATGAGCTGTCTTATCAGCTAAGTACTCCCTATATTTAATCTTTAATAACCTTAGCTGGTAAATCATTTCTCAACAATTGGGAGCTGATCGTAGAACTCTCCTTCACCTACATTCAGCCCTGACTTTATCGAAACTCGATTATGGTGACCAGATGTATTCGGCGGCCTCTCCTGCTGCTCTCTCTTAGCTTAATCCCATCCATCACCAGGGATTACGTTTATGCCTTGGTGATTTTGGCTCTTCACCTGTTGAGAGCCTGTAATCCGAAGCGAATATTTCATCCTTGCCTGATCGCCATGATTCCCATTGCCTTCTCCATTATGTTCACTCTCATGATCTCCACAATCCCTCCATATAGAGAATAGTCACTGATGTTAATAGGCATTCTTCATTTGTTCATCACCTCTGTTTACTCCATCTCTTTTCTATTCGCCTATATTCGCTCTTGTCTTCCCTTCAGTTACCACCTTTCTATGTTCATGTAGCATCTCACTTTCCCCTACCCCCTTGGGAAGTTTCAGCTGTTCGTGTCTGCTCTTTCTCACTGCCATGCGTGAAATCCCATCTGCCTACGGTAGCTTTCCACTCTCTTTTTCTTGACCACTTCCACTCTCATTCTCATGCCAACACAATCTACACAGATGGTTCTAAGTCTTCTGACGGCGTCGGATTCGCAACAATGTTTCTGGACAGTGTTGTGCGGAGGCATTTACTATCCTCGGCTAGCATTTTTACTGCTGACCTGTATGCCATTCTTGCAGCACTTATCGGTATTGCATCTATGCCTGTGTCACCATTTGTGGCTTTTTCAGGCTCAATTAGTGCTTTACAGGCTATACAAAAATTTGATACACCTCACCCCCTAGTTCTCCATATCCAACTTTGGTTATGCCGTAATTCTACCAAGCACAAAGATCTTGTTTTTTGTTAGGTCCCTGGTCATGTTGACGAACCTGGCAATGAGCAAGCAGACACTGCTGCGCGGTCAGCGGTACATGACCTCCCAGTTTCATATAGAGGTGCTATTTTGCTGTAATTGTTACCCAACTTTGCACCCGTTGGCAACAACGTTGGTCTGATCTGCTCTATAACTTACCTTCCCTTCTTACTCGTGGACCCTCCTTTAATCAGGATTCTTTCATTGACTTTTTGATAACTGATTTACTCCACAAATTCTGATACCTTTTGCACTCCCCTCAGCCCTTTCTACCTCAATCTCTTGCTACCCTCTACCCCTGAACTATTCACTGCCCCACTGTACTCAATAACCTACTAATCATCCCTCTCCCTCTTGCTACCCGATACCCTCACATCCCTCCCTGCCTTGCAGGGCTGTATAGACCTTGTTGTTTAGCGCTTCTTTATTATTATTATAATAATAATATGCATGAATTTTCTAGACACACTAAACACAACACCTGTGACAACAAAGACAACAACTGCACTATACGCTATGCAGGATATAACAATATTATGTGGATCAAAGATGATGTAATATCCTTTTGATAATTTTGAAGAACACAAGATGTCTTGCAAAATATATTACACCAGAAACACACGCAATCATTCACACAGTAGCAACCAGTTTCACTTGCGTTGTGTAATGGAGCAACATTAAACTAGTAACTAAAGAAGAAGTTGAATAAAAAAGTTACTTAGATCACTGAGTTCGATAGGTAAGGCAGCGACCACTTTGAGGTGGCCAGCCACAAGGCTTATAATAGCGACTCTCTTTGATGGCGTTACGCTTTTAATAGCTGCTTTTTCTCCGTGCCTTCCCTATATGGCTGTACTGGATCTTCTTATAAGAGATCTATGTGTCGATGATTTTCCTGGAATAACACAAGACAGAAAACAGCAGTTAAACACATAACACCATCGATGAGAAGAGTGTGTTGACCATCGTGCCGCCATTATATCTTCCATCACCTCTCCTCACCTGCTGTGACAGACTAAACAAGTTCTAGCTGTTTGTCCCATTGTACACTTAATGCTGCTCACGTATGCAACATGTTGAACAATACAGGTTTACTTCGTAAATGTTTGGTTCGCCTATTTCATTGACTTTTTTAAATTGCTATAATTTTAGAATGGCTCCAGATTAACTGTGTTTCAACAAAAAGGCTCGAGTAGTGAGGTTTCTAAAGTCACCGGCTTTATTACGCTCTATTTAAGTTCATTTTTTTCTCACCTGACAGAGGGTCAGCACCCTACTCTGGTGACTTGTTAACATATTATTAAGATGAACACCAAGATAATGCAAGCGACTTTTCTGTACGAGTTACCTTGCCCTTTCTCATGAACTTTATTGCCTTTGCCTCTTGTGTGGGTGCCATCCGCAAGGTCTCGTAATTTACTGCTGGATTCTTACTCATTTCCTCGAAGGAGCAGTGATGAGTCAGCCATGACACCTGCTCTTCGTTCACATCTCTTCCTAGAAAAGCTGCCACTTGCCTCACTACTGCCGCCAGGTCCTGAATTCAATATGTACATAATATATGGAAAAAGAATTGGTTAGATTATTTATAGATTTTTGTTAAATATACCTATAAATCAGGTGGAGACAAAATACCTCAATGAGAAAATTTTAAATCACAATATGTTGCTTATTTAAATATTACAACATATCATACATGTTATTTATCATTATCACTGCAATATCACATGTCAAAAAAGAGTAAAACATTACCTTCGTCATGTCCTCATACCGGAGAAAGAGAATGTGATCTTCATGTCTCATCTTCCAGAAGTTCAGTATGTGCTGCCAGAAGGGTGAGTACAATACTGTCGAGGAGAGTTAACAGTGAGTGTACCTCATGATATTGTACTATCTAGTGTCGCGTTCCAGTTCGTTGTGTCACTCATTACATGTATGTAAATGGCACAGCACATGGCTGTTCCGTTCATAATAAACATTATTAATAAAAAAAGACACAATACCGTTACTGGAACGATACACAAATAACCTGCACATAGAAGAGAGGAGCTCACGACGACGTTTCGGTCCGACTTGGGCCATTTACAAAGACACAAACTTAAAGGAACGAACGAACGAACAAGTTCAGGTCAGATCCCAATGGGATGAGCGTGGAAGACGGGACAGACGTAGAATAGCTCTGGAGAGGAGTGTTCTTAGTGGTAGAAATAGAGCCATGGCTTAACCCAGCAGCTAAAGCGATCCTGGGGCAGACTTGAGAACAGGAATAGCAGGGACTGTTGCATCGAACTTGTGGTAGTTGAAGTTTTAAATCTTGAGCAGTTGGCAGCAGGCTAGGTCACATCAGAGGGTAGAACATTTATGGGAGTTATAGGAGTAACTGAGGAGGCAGGTTTGCAATGGAGCCATTTTCGAACTTTTTGAAGCTGCTCCAAGATAGGTGGTATAATTTAGCCTTGTTACTGAAGGTGAAACGTAGAGGCTTGATGAACTCAAGAACTTGGGTGAGTGTGAAGTGAAGCGATGATTCACAGCAGTGTTTCAGCACCGAAGCTTTTGTAGAGTTCAGTACAGGTCATGGTGTCAGTATTTGAAGGAGAAGTATAGAAGGTAAGGTTTTCCCATGAGGGTTTACTGGAGTCGTCGCTGTCTTCCTCTTCTGGAGTGGATTTATTGGGCGAATCTACAATGTTGGTAACAGGTGACTGAGGGTAGACATGAGCAGTGGAGAGGTGTAATGGTTGTGTAACAGCAGGCTGGGAGAGGTGGGAGACGATGGTTGAGGCAGCATGATCATCGTTGTCGGTGGTGGAAGTGGTTATAGAAGTTACAGGAGCAGTTGCTTGGGCAGGAGACAGGTCTGCAGGTGCAGTAAGGTTCAGGGCGTTGGGTAGGATCTTGAGGATGTCTGCTGAAGGTGTGGAGTCCGGAAAATTGAAGGTAGGCATGTTGTTCAGACGGAATAGATCGTTAATAGTGGTGTTGAAAGTGCCGGGGTTTGCTGCGTCCTAACGGCGGTAGCTAAAGCTAGCTTCGAGGAGTCATTATTGCACAATTCAGAGGCTTGATTTTCACACGATGCGACAGCATTGTGAAAAGGATGTGACGTTTGTAGAATACAAATTTCCCACCCAGGAGGGGTCGAGCGTAGAGCAGCTGTGTGATCGGGCTACAATCTGTCAACGAAAAGGAACGAACGAACGAACGAAAGTTCTGGTAAGATCCCAAATGGGATGAGCGGGGAAGACGGGACAGACGAAGAATAGTGCTGGCGAGGAGTGTTCTTAGTCGTAGAAATAGAGCCAGGGCTTAACCCAGCAGCGAAGGCGATCGTGGGATAGATATTGAGAAGAAAAATTCAGGCTCTTCTGTGGGACTCCGGTGGGGTGAGCGGGGAGGAAGGGACATGCGACATTTAGCGCTAGAGAGGAGTGTAGAATTGAGCCATATCTTAACCCTAAAGCTAAGGCGAATGTGGGTCAGAGAATGGCACCTGTCAGGGAATCCAAGGTAAATAGGGCTAGGAGCAGGATCAAGCAAGGAGTAGAAAAGGTTGTGTCGGTTTGTGGGTCTGCAAATGTCTTCGTAAAGGAGAGAGGTCCAGTAGTCATGTCGTGTTTCAAGTTTGTCTGTCTGTCACTGAGCGTCTTCCAGTACAGATTCAGCGCAGGGATGTCTAGCTGGGCATGGAGAGACTCGCTTGTGGCGAAGTCCTCCAATCTGACATCAAGCACCCAGCGCAGTGCCTTGTTCTGTACATGCTGCAGTTTAAGTAAGCTTGTTTTTGCTGCAAGAGAGATGGCTAGAGGAGAGTAAATTATCAGAGGACGTATTAGGGATTTGTAGAGGTGTAGTTTGGTGCGTTGAGAGGCATATTTCAGCTTGCAGAGGCCCGCAAGGGCCTTACCAGCTATTGCATGCCTTGAGTGAATGTGTCCATGTAAACGAAGAAGGTGGTCAAGATTAACGCCAAGGACTGTGACAGATTGTGTGATGGGGATGTAAGTGCGGGTGTCAGCTGTTCTGAGCTCGACAGGTAATGGAGGATCACGTTTCCTGTAGTTAAAATATGTAATGCTGGATTAAGCTGCATTGGTTTTGATCCTCCATTTTTGTTCCCATATGGCTATCCTGTCGACTTCATTTTGTGTTTTGAGTGTGAGTGTATCTATATTGGCATGAGTGATTAGTTGTGTAATGTCGTCTGCATAGGCTAGTGTGATGGAGTTGTGGTATACAGGTGTTGGAATGTCGTTAATGTATAAAATGTAGAGGGTAGGGGAAGGACAGATCCCTGAGGTACTCCAGCATTTAGTGTGAAGTAGTCAGAGTAACAGCCTTGGAATTTGATTCTCATGGTACGGCCGTCTAGGAACGTTGCAGAGGAGTTTACGAGTAGTGAGAGGCAGGTTAAAGTTAGTGCAGAGTTTGTACTTGAGCCCTTCGTGCCAGTGTCAAAAGCTTTTTCAATGTCTTTTGCAACCAGGGTTGTCCTGTTTCTTTGTTTTGTGTTTATGTGGATGTAGTTGAGAATGACGTTAATGGCATCCTGTGTGGATCTGTGTGTTCTGAAGCCAAACTGGCCATCAGAAAGTAGAGAATTGTGTTCCAGGTATCTGCGAAGGCGATGGTTGATGAGTTTTTCAAAGACTTTTCCTAAAGTTTCGAGGAGGCTGATAGGGCGATAGTTTCTAGGATCAGAGTGGTCTTCTTTGGGTTTAGGAAGGAGGATAGCAGTAGCAGCTTTGAAGAGGGAAGGGAAGTATCCAGTGACAAGGGAGGCATTGAGGAGGTTGGTGTAGCCAGTAATGATAGAGTCCGGAAGGTGTTTTAGGGTAATATGCTTTAGGCCAGAGTCACCAGGAGCCTTGGGAGGGAGGTGTCTGAGGAGGGTTTTAATGTCTGTGTTGGTGAAAGGAGTGTCGAGTTCTTGGGAGGAGGTAAGAGAGTCAAGATGGATGTGGCTATCTGGTGTTGTTTCTTGTGTGTGTGCAGTGTTCCAGTGTTCTATGTTCTGAATGTGATGAATAACGTTAGGGTGGGGTGGGTGAGGGTGAAAGATGCTCTCCCAGATGTGTTTGAAGATGTTAGTGCAGCCTGCGGGTCTGAAATGTGTGTGTTGTTGTGAGTAATGTGTTTGAATTTGTTGGTGGGAGTTGTGCCTCTGATTTTTTTGATAAAGTTCCAGAAGGCTTTAGAGTTTTTAATACGCTGTTTGTTCACTTGTTGTATAAGTTGTGACCAGTGATTGTTGTGGTCTTGGTCTAGGCTGTGTAGAATGTTGCTTCTAAGATAAGTGAGATCTAATATAATTTGATTAAATCTATGTGTGTTGTAGAGGAAGCGATTGTGGTAGCAGTTAATTACGAACACCACAAAGAACAACAAAAAACCAAAACTATATATATATATAAAATATATATATATATATATATATAATATATA